TATATATATATGGCGAAGGTTTCCTCTGAGCAACCATAAAGTGTTCAGATAAAATGCTAAAGTGGGTCAAAATGCATTTCTTTTAAAATGGAATAAAATAAATGATTGCAATAAACATTTCAATGTTTTTAAGAATTCAGAGAGATGTGTGTGTGTGTGTGTCCCTGACGTTTGACAGTATTTACAGATGTAATTTATCATTATTACTGTCTCAGTGAGAAGAGCTGCACTCATTCCAGTGGTCTCTGAGAAAATCAATGCTTAAAGCTTGTCGTCCAATAACGACCAGTCACGATTAATTTTTGTTTTTTTGTTTTTTTGCATCAAGATTCATCTAATTTACTTCTACTGTCAGGTAAACACTTACCCCTGGTAAAGAAACAAACTACTCCTTGATAATCATATAGCTTCATGTGGTCTGTTTTGTGTTTTAATTCTACTTAAGACATTTTTTGTTACAGCTTGTGACACATTAAAGTTTTTGGAATCCGGATTCCTACTTTTCGACTCAACTATTCACCACAACTGACATAAGCAACACCCTAACTGAGGACAAGGCCCCACGCCACCATCCATCTCTCCATCACCCTCATGAACAAGAAGTCCACCTGAAAACTCCTCCACCTGAGGCAAAGACTCCCCCTGACCTGGAGGAGGGACTCCCTGCCTCAACAGCACTTTAAAAATATTGTTGCATGGATTAAAGCCAGAGCACATCAAATCACAGTAACTTCAAACATTGTTATAGTAAAAGTAATGAAGCATAAACAAGTTATTGACTGGTGTAACACGAAATAGAAACATCTTGCTGCAATTTATTGTATTGCTCGTACAAAATCTTGTTCATGGTATTTATACTTGTTTTTTTTATCTTAATTTAAAAAATAGCATAAAATTGCAGCATGACTTGGATGTCACAATAACTTGAACACCAGCAGACTCACCAACCTGCGGCCCTGGGGTCAAAATGGCTGAAGCCTCTGGGTCGCTTTGACCCAAAGGGCAGCAGGAGGGTTGAGAAAGGAACAAGTCCTCCTTCTCAGATTTGTTTTCCTGCTTCAAGGCACATAAAAGCAACGCAAATGAAGGTCGTAAAGGCCTGGGTGTTATGCAAATCCCTGTTTACTGCATGAATGCTGAAGGGCAGTTCCTGCTGGTAAAAAAAAAACGGCCCATGAAGCCTCAAACTGCATCCATGAAAGCAGCACAGATCCTTTTCCTTCTCCCTCCCAGTGAGTAGACCTTTTCATCCAGTCAAAACTCGTTCATCCAGTTCAATGTGAGCAATAAACAGTGAAGCTAAAGAAATCACATCAAAGCTTCTGGTTTCATTTTTTTCAAAAGAAGAGCCCATAATTTGCTTTGCTCTGCAATTAATTCTTTTTGATCTTGTCTGGCTTTGACTCCACATACAGCACTACTAAACTGTTTTGTTCCCTGAAAGTTGTTGCAATACAAAGTTAACAAAGGTGCTATGAAAACTGAAACACTAAAGTGTGTTTTCTTCTTTTATAACCATGACAAATATGATTCAGGATTTATGGTCACCTAGTCCAACGATATACACACATTAAAAATGAGATACTTATTTCGCTGCCTTCTTGTAGACGAGCGATATCGTACCGTGCAAATGTTTTAAGCCCTCTCTAAATTCTCAACGTTTTGCTTTCAGTGAGCCAGACTTTTACGCAATCTTTAAAAGTTGATGCAGTCAAAAATTCTTTAAATTTTTATTTGGGGAGTGTGGGGGGGTGGGCCACTGGGGGCCTTTGGCTTTGTCAGTCATTCATGTGCTGGAACCTGCAATATAC